CCTCAGCAGGCAGCTGACCCTCTCATGTTATCCTGTTGTTCTCTAAACACATTGTGTCATGTTAAAATGCTAGACTCTAGCAGCTAGAGACATAACAGTTTAGCCTTTCATAGTAAAAAAATTATATGTATAGGCTATGGACTGAATTGTGTTTCCCCAAAATTCATATGTTGAAGCCTTAGCCCCCAATGTGACTGAATTTGGAGATACAGCTTTTAGGAGGTAATTAAGGTTAATGAGGTCTTAATCTTATAGGATTGGTGGCCTTATAAGAAGAGGAAGATCTCTCTCTCTCTCTCTCTTCTTACCTGGTCCCACCATCACCATCACATGAAGACACAATGAGAAGGTAGCTGTATGCAAGTCAACAATGAGGGGAGGTACAACAACAATGGTAGCCAGTCTTTCTGTCTGCACCTCTGTGATCAGTAGCAGCAATCTGTGACCAGAGACCAGATCCCAGATATTTGGAGGACAGAGTCCTTTTTGCCCACCCTGGCTCCCACAGGCTGTATATGCATGCTACTCCCAAAACACATGCACAGCTGCTTGTCATGGCACTGGGGGTGGAGAATGGGTAGCTGCTACTGTACTAAGAGCTGAACTGATGGAAATTAACCACAATTTACCCTCCAAGTCTTCTCCTGAAAGTTACAAGTTTCCAATAGACTCCAGAATTCCAAAATCATTACATCAAACAGTTTCTGCCAGTACAATTGTTGTCTAGGTTGGGAGACAGATTCTGGTTTTTCCTATTTTTCCATCTTCCCAGAATCCTAATAAAAAGTTTTAAAAGTCGTAAGTCTAAATAGCCAAGGCATCTATTTGTCTATGTATGAATGCTAAAATTTTCTTCTTCCCTCCTAGGATCTCTGGCTGGGACTGCCATAACACAGATTAACAAGAGAAAAGCATACAAATATTAATAACTCTTTCACATGTACATGATATTCCTCACAAGAAAAATGAAGACCCAAAGAAGCAGTTAGAGCTGGATGCTTATAAACTGAATTGGACACAGAATAGTAAATTGTGAAACTATGACAAGATAAAGGGGCTTAGACTAGGGCAGTTAATTATGGAGAAGTGACTAGG